GAGAGGTTGCTGAATCTTTGCATTGGTAATTTGCTTGCTTGAAAGTTCTCCCAGGCTTCTAGGGAGGAGAGGCAGATGTATTCTCGCAAGGCAATCAGTGTTTGTGTAATTTTACCTCTGTGTCCTGAGCTGTGGAGGTACTGGGGGTGAAGCCTCAGGGCTCCTACACAGAAAATACTGAAACTTAACATCAAAGAGAGCTCGTTTCCAACCATTGTATCTTCGTTAAGTAGCACATCAGTAGGAGGGCAAAATAACAGTTGCTCTAGGCCCAGAGAAGCTTTTGCATTGCTGCCACCCCAATTATTTCCTTTTTTTACACATTCTCAGCAATCTTTTGCCTCTGTAATTACAGCACTGAACGCTGCAGCTATTAGATACAGTCACTAGACTTTTAACAAGCCATCATTACTTGCACTCGGAATCTTACAATTTAAAAACAGTGTCTTTGAGAACGGTGTAACTTCTTTCTCCTTTACAATAACTGCACAGACTCGTGCATGGACATGTGTGTCTAAAAGCTGGTTGCAGCCAGGGGCTTTGATAAGGAGCAGCAAAGAAGCCACGAATAGAGCTGTAGAATTATGACCCTGATTCATACATTCTGGTTACATTATTAGTAGCATCTCAATATTGGGAAGATAATTGCCAAATAATATCTGCAATTGCCAAATATCTGCAGCCCTTGAGGTCTTGTGTTGATGTCAGAGCAGCGATGTATCATTTGTTTGGAAACCCAGAGAAGTCAGGGAGGCAGGTGGACAGGATCTGCCTTTTCCCAGCTCCCCCTCTCTCTGGCAGTTTCTTTGCTCTGGAAATACTGCTGAATACTAAAATGAGGTTGTGTTGTGTACAGCCAGGTGAGCAGGGCCGTGGGTGACCTGATCAGCCCATGGATTTCTGTGCTAACCCCAGGTGGTCAGGCAGAGCAGACATTTCAAAACTTATCCAGCTCTTGTCTTACTGTCTTTGAATTTGCATAATTAAAAGTGAATTGCTTGCTGTATTTTAATATATGCAGTGAAAATGCATGAAAAGCTGAAGAATTACAGCAATCCAGTAATTCATGTCATGTTCCATTCAGAATTACAGCTTTCCAGTGCCAGCTCAAACACCGAGGAATCCCTGCCACCATAAAACTATAATTGCTGAATTAATAACAGCGGGTTCTGGAGAGTGACTGCAAGACTCTCTGACCCAGGTAATGGAAACACTCATGTTAAAGTGAAGTTGATACATTTGCCTTAATCTATGTAATATCAGTCCCTGGTACTAAAGAACATTGCTTTTCCATCCCATAAGAAAGCTGCTGTGGTACCCTTCTGCTTTAGCTTGAGCTACCTGCATTTGTTAGCCACTGGGAACTAGAAATTACATTTTCAGGGATCAGTCAGGTTGCATTTCCTTCTACCAGGGTATTTGTACCCCAGTCTGTCTGCCTGCAGCTTCTGGGAGGTGGAGTTCCCATCCAGCTGCAGAGGGGGGAACAGGATGTCGAGGGAGATGGTGAAAGACTTCTGCTAACACCTTATTACTCCAGCATGTATTAACGACTAAAAAAACAACCCCTCCCCCTCTCTTCTAACTCAGGAACAAATTCTGCAGCTGGTGCCACATGGCCCCACAGCTATGATGCTCCTCAGGACTGGGATAAAGGGATGCTCTTTAAACAGGATAATAGGTAAGTAACCAAAATTAACTTCATCTGAATGGCATCAATTGTTACATTGTGTGTATGGAGGAGTTACATTTTTCTTTATATTTTATTTTTTTAAAATAGGCTTTCCCTAGTTACTAGAAGGACCTGGTAATCCATTTACCGTGACTTCCTCAGGTTTGGTCCTTGAATGTGACCTGTGGTTCTCTACATTTCCTTCAGTAGGATTTGATTCTTGGTAACCTTTATAGGCTGACTCAAATCATTAGGGACAAATTGCCCATGTCAAAGGACTTGATTGTATCGTGGAATTGATGTAGTGCATAACTACTCACTTTGCAAAGCTCAGTTGCAGTGAAAGCCAAAGCTTGTGACCACTGAGATGTTGGACTTCTCAGCTCAGGGCAATGTCCCATACTGGGGCAACAGCCTCTCTAAGGCTGTGTATACACTGTGGATAAAAAGAATTGGCAGTTTTCAGAGCTGGCAATCTGCTCCTTTTCATAAGAATTACCATCATTAATTAAAGCATCTTTTTTTTTCTGTCTAAGTATTTCAGCTCTAATTCTCTTGCAGGTTCATAAATAGTAACATCCCTTTGTCCTGGAAAAAGTTCATTTCTTCTTTTCTTTCTCTTTGTCATTGCCCTCGTTCTCTGTCCTCTCATGGCTTAAGGTAATTAAACTTCCAAAGCCAGATCACCTCTCTGAAATATTTAAGCATGATCAAAGAGATTTTCATGTTTCGTTTGCCCACAAAGCTCCTTGGGAGTTTTGAATGCAAAAAGCATTCTCCTTTCTGCAAATGACTGCAGAAGAGGGGCTGGGTCTGCTGAGGGACAGGTTTGCTATTGCCCAGACCTCGTGCTACCAAGTTACGGTTCAATAAGCAAACATTTCAAGCCTTGTGACTTGTAGGCACAGGAAAGGTATTTAACCTCATTGCTGCCTCTTTGCCATTTAACACTGAAGTTCCAGCTTGTACTGTTGGATGTTGATGCTACTCGGAGTTGAAATGTTGCATCCAGCAGATGTGTGCAAGGTGCTCTCTGCAGTTGCTGCATGCCTAACTGCATTCTTGTGGTGGAGTTTGGGCTGATACACGGTAGGGAGGAAAATCTTCTCAAAGGGAAATTTGTAGAGTGAGATTATCCAGAAGAGCTGAATGAAGGACCTGGGTATTTTGAAAAGAAGTATGTGTAAAACTGTGGTGTTGAGGCAGAAGGTGATCCCTCTTTTGATGATTTGAATTTGTGGAGGTCTTCCTAAGCTGACAGCAAGGCAATCCTCTTGTTTTTTCACTTCACTACGAAATCTGCTTTTCCTGTGCAGATATTTAGCTCGCTGGCTGATGTTTTCTTGAAATTTCCTTTATTAAGTGTCAAGCTTTTGTACCAGAAAATATCAAACACAGCTAAAGGTCAAAGTAAATCATGAATGAAATTACAGAAACTGATGTACAGTGGAGGATAAAGCAGAATGTCAGATGGCAGTTTACATGAACACGATTCCCAGAGCGGAGGCCAACCATGCCCACCCAGAGAAGCCCTGTGCCCATGCTGCTGAGTCCTGCTCATACTGCTCTGTTGATATCAGATTGGGAGTAAGAGTGAGGTTCCCATTAATTTCACCATTAAAAAAGCGAGGATTTGGAGATCCTGACTGAATGCTTGTCTTTCAAGAAAACATCTGACTTCAAAAAGCACAGAGATGCCATGGGTACCAGTTATCTCTGGAGGTCTCCCTTTAACTGCAGCTTGACTTATTATCAGGGAAGAAATTGTTCCTGAATCTTACTACTTTTTCTTATTTCTTGGCTTAGATGATGAGAGCAGACAAAGTCGAGGCGTTCTGTCTGCTGTGAGCACAGAAGGGCCATCTATGGGCAGCTTGCAAGCTGAGAGGATCTGTTAGGTCCATCTGAATCTGGCTTAGGAGCAAATCAGTTCCATGAGCCAGAGAGACAATCATGGCATTTTCAGTGTGTCCTGTGGTTGTTTTTTGTTTGTTTGGGCTTTTTTTGAGTGTGGATTAAATGCAGAGTTTGTCTACTTACCAGGCTTCTTATTTTGTAGAATTTGTAGGCATGTGAATACTTCTACTACGTACAGATATATACGTATTCAGAGGCTTTGTGATCATACAAAACTTAAGCAAGAATAAAAGTAATCTTTTCTTTTTTTCTGGATTTTGCAGCCCATGTCTAAAAACAGTTGCAAAAGTGGAGAGAAGGAAAAACACACGTCCACAGATCACAAGCAGAAAAGTAGATATTTTGAAATACTTTGATGGTAACAAGAATGTTGTCTCCTTTCCAATGTCATTTTTTTTTTTAAAAGCTCAGTAGGCAGCGAAATGAAATGTTTTATGGTTTTATCAAGTGCAGCAAAGTCACTGCTATTATACTTGCAATTTTATGACCTGGTAAACAGAAACCTTTGTGCATAAGGGTCTGAGTGGCAGCGGTGTAGAAAACTGATGATTACGCTGCCTTGTGAAATGGGAGCTCCTTCATAGGAAACGCGTGCTACCTGAAGCAGCAACACCTGATATTTGTCCTTGTGGAGCGTGACCCTGTGGCCAACACTGATAGTGAGTCTGAGAATGAGGATAACTGCTGGGACAGTAAAAGTGTTGATAGATTTCTGTATTTCAGCTTGGGCCACATGGAATACACAGTGCCACTTGGAGTGCAGTGTTTCCCCTGGAGCTTTCATGGGGGGTAGATGAGGCTGCCTGCGGGAGGAGAGCACAGGGGCTGAGGGTTTGCACAGAGAGCAGGCGCTGGCTGTTGCCTGCTGTTCTTGCTGTGTCTTTGCTGCACGTGGTACTGGTGCATTTGCTTAGAACATTTAATTTGCAGCAGCCGTAATTTATATTTGTAATTTTGTCTGAGATCAATAAAATAAACCAAAGAGATTTATAGCCCTACTTTCAACTAAGATAAATTGAAACAGGCTGCTTCCCTGAAAAGCTGTATTTAAACGGCACTTTAAAAGAACAAAATGAGATGGGATATTTGCATGCAAGTATGGATAAACAACCCATAGTGTGTGGAAGAAATACTGGGAGGGGTGAACATGGTCAGTGCAGGACTCTCTGCAATAAAGTTGTGGGAAACTTGACTGTAGAGCAGGGTCTGATAGCAGACAAGTAACCATTTGAGAATGTAGTTTGTTTGTTCACAGCAACTGGTGAGGAGTGAGGCAGGTAATCCTTGAAATCCTGAACACAAAGGCATATGATTCTGGTCCCTTGGGAGGTACTTAGTCGGGTCCTTCCCTTTCTCCTTTCCCCTTTCCTTCCTTTCCTCCCTCCTTCCCCTTCCCTCCCATCCTTCTTACCTTTTGTCTTTGGTCATGCTTCCAGTCCTTCAATGGACTTGAATGAAGGCTCTGACAATAGGACTGCCTGTGTCTTTCCTCTTTTGAATTAAAATGGTCCAGCATCCTTGCTCCCTGCCTGTGATTTGTTGAAAACATTCAGTAAGAAACAGGAACTATCACCTGTGCGACACAAACTGTCAGTTTGTTCATTTCCCAGCTGTTAGTATCTCTTTAGCATTACCCTCCCTTTTAGAGTATGTTTTTGATCAGTTGTGCAATTGGAATATATTTGGAGGAATAAAGGTCCCCTTTCTCCCTTCACTTCCCCTTGGCTCCTGGTGTGATCTGACCCTGGGAGGAGACCACTGTTCAGTAAAACAAGAGTCCAGTGGACTACACTCTTTGGAACTTTCCTCACACTCTGTAGCCCCAACAACTGAGACTCTTAACTTAGGATTGCATCCATGGAGTGCTTGCTGAAGCATAGACCAGCATAACAATGACCCACAAGGTTCTGTTTCACTTTGCATGTGCTTCCTATATATGCATAGTTTCCTTTGGACTTCCTTACTAGGTCCTCTGCAAGAAGCAGGTGTTTCTCCACTTTTCCAGTCTGTGAACTTGAAGTTAAATTCCAAAATAATTCATCATTTTATAAATAAGTTATGCAAGCTGTCATCACAAATCTGTCACTGCACAGACAGGTGCCAACATGAGCAGTTTGCAAAAATGACAACAGGATTGGAATAAAGGATGTCTAAAAGCAATTACATTTCCAGATATTAGGCGAACACAATTATTTAAACTGCTAGTCAAAAACAGCTGATAAAATAGGTAATTAAAAAGATTGACCCAAAAGCTGATTTTAAATTATTCTGTAATATGCACATAATAAATATATTTCCTCAAGTGCTGGAGATTATGTGAGGAACTGTATTAAAAACTGAGAATGAACTAGGCCTGCATTGCAAACAGCAGTATGGCCTGTCATTGTAATAAATCATGCTCCATAGGCATTGAAATAGGAAGTATGACAGTGCTCAGCCTCCGACCACAGCAGTGGTGGGTGACCTGTTGTGTGCAGATAGAGAACAACCAAGCTGGACGGCAGCAGGATGGAATCATTAGGAAGGAGCTGTTTCAGTAGTCCAATTTTCACATTAAAGTCTTACCATAGGACATCAAAGCCCCTAATTAGGAGCCTGAATCCAGTATTTAATACATTGTACGCCCACTTCATACATGCACAAGATAGCCTAGTTTCCACCTAAAATGACATCTAAGCTCTTTTTGACACCTATTGAAGGGACAGAATGATTGTTCTTAAGACCTTATTTTCCATGCTGCTACCTGGTGGTGATGCAGGACTGACTTCAGTCCTCGTGCTGTCATACTTCAGCACATCAAAAGCAGGATCAGCAGGCTGTGCTTTAGCTGGGGGGACACAGGGGTGTCCTCATGAATGCATCTCTCTTTAAGAAGCTGTCCTGTGTTATCCTGCACTATCATCTTTGTAAAAACATGGACTTGAGAAACATCAAAACTTCAGCTATGAGCACACAGTATTACTCCATAAATGTATTGGAACTGATTAACCTATCAATCTCTATTATTCAACTACTGCAAACGAGACACGTGCTCCCCTGGAGATTTACCTGGAGTAAGATCAAAAGGAAACTGCTTTCTCCCTTCCCAGCTTGCAAGTTCAAAATTTGTTTCGACTGGTGATGCTGCAAATAAATAAATAAAAGAAGTGACCTGAATAAGTTGAGCGATCCCCTGGGGATCGAGGCAGGAAGCGTTTGAAACATGAAAAGTTGCACCTGTGTTCAAACGAGAGAGACCCTAGTTAATTATTTACAGCAGCTGAAAGCTCATCAAAAATTTAACCAAGATTTATTTCGCTGTGACTGTGCATGAACCACAGTGTGCAGCAATGGGGGCTTTTAGCTGTCTTCAGTGGAGCTCTTGAGTTTTCACCTCCCGGCTTGTCGGTGCTGGCTCAGTGCGGGCAGTGAATCCTTTCCTTCTATCTGTCAGCAGTGCACGCTATTAGGGTGGATTCAAATTGCATGCAAATAAGTACCATGCAGCATTTGAACTGCTGCTGGGAGGCTCTGAGGTGGCCCTCAACAGACTTCAGCTGTGGTGAGGCTGTGACCCGTCACTGTCAGTAGATGATATCAAATACAAACCCACCTGTGGCATAGCTCTGCTCCTCTCCCATCTATAGTAACGAGCCCTTCCATTTTGTGCACACTGACCGAGCGAAGGCTGGGCCTTTGCCCGTTGCTTTGAATTCCATTGCATTTGTGATTTTTCTTTAATCATTGCTGTGGAAAAGCCTGAACTGTTTTTCTCATGGGGTTTGTATGCACACAGGCATAACAGAGCTGAGAACCTCAGTAAAGGTGGAACTTCTGAACCTATCTTGATTTTGTTAAGATTAAATTAATATGAAGTAGGACCAAATTATGTTTTGCCTTGAGAGACTAATGAGAACAGTACTGTTCTACTACTATCCATGTACTCAATACATTAAATGACAGTGAAAAAGCTTCGCCAGCAAATGGAACAGGAACTATAAATGACAGGAAGTACCTTAGGATTCCTGAAGCATCAGCTTCTTGCAGAGGTTTCAATGATAGCACGTCATGACCGACATCTCACAAGGTCCCTGAAAAAAGAAAAAAAATATATCAAGTATGTTATCACCATTTCTGAGCAAAAAGGTCACAAGTGGAAATTGTTTTCATGATAAGTGTCTCTGCATTCTCCCAAGTTTCTGGAGCTTCTCAGAACCTCTTATGACTGAGCCACTCTGACCTGTGTATCTGTGCTGGTTCATCCTCTTCTTGATCTACTCAGTCATGATAGTTAAACCTACTTGAGAAACGGAGCTTAGAGTCAACTGCACGTCTTTCTTGCAAAAGCATCTGAAGCTCAGATGCCCCAGGCTAGGAACAAAGCAGAAGGTGCCAAAAAACAAGACAACAGGAACTCCTAATTTAAGTTGAATTCATCAGTGGTGGACCAGCTCCCAACCCCGCTGTGACCGCTCTTCTGAAGAAGGCTACCACTGAACAAGAAATGACGGAGAGCAGACAGACGAGGGGGGAGCAGGGAGGAAGAAATGGCCCATCCAAGGTAAGCTGTGCCATCAGACCAGGTGGTGGCTGAGGAGATTGGACAGCCCAGCAGGACGAGCATCAGTGACATTAAAATACTCCACACAGCGAAAAGATTTTTTGGCAAATACCTAAAATAACCACCCCCTCAAATCATGCTGAATATCCTAATGCTTCCTAAGAAGTATCTAGGGAAAGAAACTGTATGAAGCTTTCATTATCAGTTGAAGTATCACTGTATATTTTGATTCATTTGGCTCAGTTCGTGATACAACAGAGCACAACTAATGTAACTTGGCTTGATGTGACCCCTTGTTACACATACTGGAACAATATCTGCAGAAGCATTTGAAATCACACATTTTTTCAGACATCTATTTTAAGGATCAGTGACTTCAAACAAGCTGCACATTTGGGCATATTTTAAAGGCTTATTTCCTGCAATCACGTGCAGGTCATGGCTTAATCCTCATCAGAAAGAGCACACTTTGAGATTCTGATTATTGGAGGGGAGCAGTGAAAGAAGGATACACATAGAAAGAAAAGCATCAGAGTTTGCAGACAGAGCCTGGACTCTGGAGTCTGATCAGTAAATCTTTGATGAGAATTTTTAGGGAGGTGGTTTTTTTCTTTATATTTTCTTTAACTTTTGAATGCAGCACCACAAGAGGTGAGACAAAACGGAGTCTTTGAAGTGTTGGTTAGATGATGTTCTGGCACTGCTGAGCACTGCAGTGACATGGAAACAGACCTGGAAAGAGCCAGCTGTCCCGGCAGGGAGCGGGCAGCCAACAGGAGAAGCAGCTGAATCTGTTATTTCTTATGAATTACTGAGTGCTGCAGCACTCTGAAAAGTACTTTTCACAATACTTGTAGAAACTAAAGTTTTTAATGGCCAGGTAAGACTCTGTTACTATAAGTGAGAAGGAACAGAGCAGCTTTGCTTGGCCAGATGCATAGCTGCTCTCAAGTGAGGGCTGGCGAAAGGCAGAGGGAAATGTGACAGCTTTCCACGACAGATAAGAGCTGGATTCTGGCCCAGTTTGAGCTAGGTAAGCAAATAATTACCTGTGAATAAATTAGGAAGAAAAATGCTAAATACCCTTATTAATAGAGACCATATGTTTATGGCAACCAGAAGGCTCTTAAAATTATGCAGCAACATTCTACAGCTCCCAGTCACGTTTCCTACATACAGCTTACACACTCACCATGTAGTGGACAGAATACTGATTTTGTGGGTATTTTGAAACCCTACAGCCTTGCCATCAGTGAATGCATGGGCAAAGCCTGTTCCTTCACCTCAAGCAAACCCTAGGCAAAGGGTCAAATATCCACGTTTTTAAAATAATGTAAGGAAGTCGCACATTTGCAGTTGAAAATGAAGTTCTCATCTTATAAAAAAAGGAGAAAAGGAATTTCCTACAGAACTTCATAGCCTGATTTTCAGACTGAAGTGCGTTTGAGGCATTGGATCTGACAAAATTAAAAGAGAAGCCAAAAAGGCCAATCTGCACATTTCGTAAAACTGACTAGTGCATTCTAAATTCAAATATTTGGCTATTTAAGCTCAGATTTAATCTCACCACTGTGAAAAGCCTGCTTCCCTACCTGTTACGCTCAGAAGCACTTCTGCAGATGAAAACAGCCTTTCCATCCCACAACCTCTCACAGACACATGCACGCACATTATGTCCCATGTTTAATTGCCTTTCAGAACTGTCTTATCTTGGCACAAACTTGTTGCTGGTTTATCTCTGCTCAGGATAAATGCATACCTAATCTTGTTACTGGATGCACACAGAGCGGGCAATCTCATTAATAGCCACCCTTAAGGGATTTCTATCCAGGGATCAATTTCATAATTGGAACACAGCTACATCATATATAAATATACTCCTTCCATGGGACAGCCATTTGCCTGCTGGTCTCATGCTGTTCTGTCTTGCACATCTTATGAAGAATTAACAAGAAAAGAAAAAAAAAATAGAGAATCCAGAAAGTATTTTTAAAGCAGGGATCCTTCTTGGAAACTTGTTAGCTTTTCGGATCACACCACAGGCTTACAAGCTTGATTTGTCAGGTTCACGATTGTTACTGGATATGTAAGTTCTATCATTCTTAGCCTGCATAGTCACTAAGAATAGTTTTCCCCTGCACTGCATTGAATTCTGTATGCTCTTTGTTGTAGCATATAGAATTCTATAATGGGAAAAACCCTAACTTGTTAGCTGCATATCATTTTCAGAGCCAGCAGGAGCTGTAGAGCTTTTAAGAATTAAATTATGTTCATTTATTCACTGACTGCAAAATATCCTACCAAGAGCCTAATAGCTTAAAGGCTTCCTAATCAACTTTACTTCATCATTAAATAATTATGCTTCACATCTCTGAAATACACTTTTGTCACATCTCATAGAAGGGATAGTTAGTGAATATGAGTCATTACCGAGGCTGAGCGAACCATTCATAATTAAACCTGAGCCACGCAAAGCTGCTGGTCTGAGGCTGTGTGAACCTTTCACTGAGTCTGGGCTAAGTTTCCAACAAACTTCAATCCAATTATATCCAATCCACAACAAAACAATATATGTTCACTCACTGTACAGCTTTGCTTCCTTTAGTGGGTTTGTTTTCTCGTGACGATCATTACAGCTCAAATCAAATGGGGTTGATTCACCCTCTCCCTCCCACGCTGAGGCATGCAGTGAGGATGGGCACCACTGATGCTCTTGGAATACATACATGAGAAAATAGTAGGAAATGGTGCCAGTGTTTCACCTGGGTCTACCTGTACATAGCTGTGAGGTGTGTAATTGCACACAAGTCTTTTTCAAAAGGAGAACACTGAGCACTGCTAGACAGCTGGTCAGATGGAGAGCAATCACTGTCATAACTCAAAAAGAGAATAGCACTATTAATGAAAAGGATGATGAAATAAAGAAGTGCCAGAAATGTTCATTTACTGTGTTTGCTTACCAGCAGATCACAGGTCACTCAGAATTGAATATCCTCATCCCAAGGCTGTCAGCCACACCACGTCCTGTCCCTGCTGGCTGCACGGCAACGATGGCAACACGTCTGCATGGATGTGGACATGGAAGCCCAATGTGTGTCATCTCCTCTGAGGCTGCTCGAGTTGCTCTTCAGTGCTTCAAGGGGAAAGAAAGAGCAGAGAAATAATAAGGCTTTGTAGAGTGGTGAGACTCCAGTTTGTACTGTGACAGCTGTTCACCATTGGATCTACCTCTAACAGATGGGACAGAGATGCAGGCGGGGTGGAGGGGCCACAAAGGCAACTGATGGAGAAGTTTCTTTGGAGCTTGCCATTCTTTGTGCTTCATTTATATTTCATTAGCCATGAAATTGTGTTTATAATTGTATTAGACAACTGTGTGAGATATTAGATCATAAGCCCAGCCTGAATTAAAGCCATTTTTAATTAGTTATTGATTTATTCTGTTTTGTCATTTTTAATGAAATTACGCCCCTGAATTCAAAGCACTGGTGCAGGTGTGTTATCTTAATTCATAAAACTAGCACTCTGCTTATCTCCTAACCAACCAAGAGAATGGAAGTTGGTGTTCTTTAACACAATTGTGGTATCAGCCATTGCTGTGCATCTGCACAAGGGGTGTGAAGGCAAGAGACACTGCACTCTAGAACAGACAAGAGAAGGGAGCCCTTGGCTGCAGGCACACTGCTGGGAGGAACCAGGGCTGAGCAAAAAAAAAAAAAAGGAAAAAAAGGGAAAGCAGGAAAGAATATGCTACTGTAGGAGGTGTGAGATGCTGTGCTTCTGCTGGGAAGGAGCAGTAGCCCATTGCCTTGGGGATGCTACTCTACAGCACCACAAGCAGCAGCTACTGCACGTTGCTGGGATCCAGCTCAGCCCCAACGGCTGCAAGGACAGGGAGCAATGCTGCAGCTCAGCCAGACTGTCTGTGCTTTGTCTATGCATACAAATCAGAGCTAAGAGGTTTGGGGTTCTTGGTGGATTTTTTTTTGTTATCTCAGATCCGTCAGGACCTCAGCTCCCTGTTCTACTTTTCTACTCCATCCTGTGATGTTAACATACACAAGGATTCACTTGGACTTCAGAAGGACATCTTCCCATGGTGGAAGAGCTGCGGGATATTTCTTGAGGTGTTGCAGACACTGATGGCTTTCATTTAGGTAAAAAAAAAAGAGGCTGTAGTCTGTAAGGCACTGTTGAGGAACATGAGCAGTTCCTCAGCAACCTTCAAAATACAACAGGCTTCTTGCTGGCATTTATCTCACAGTCTGACACCCCAACAAAAAAATATTTGGACACATGTTCTGAGCTCCCCAAATGCCCAACAATGACTCTCATCCTTTCTTTTCTTTTTTGGCTTCTCCTTTCCTACTTCCTTCCCCCCCCCTTTCCAGCCGCCCACATGGTTTCACTCACTGGAACAGCCCGTGGTGAAATCAGACAAACACTTTGACTTTGCCCCCGGCCCCAGTGGTAGCCGTACCTCTGAAGCTGCCATTCACCTCTAATTACACGTCTGCTGAAATCATGCAGAGAAGGAACAGTGTAAGTCATTAGCCCTCCTAAATGAATGTGCAGCTGAGTAGCTAACAAAGGGATTAACACTTGACAGCAGAAGCATTGCACACTGAAGGGGAGGGTCATCGGGTGACTGCTTATTACACAGAAATAATTGCCATCCAATGCTGAGAGAAACCGATGGCTGCAGGCTGTGTTTACTGCAAAGAAATGCATTTTTTTCCCTTCTGTTTTCTTACCCTCCTGCTTAATCCTCCTTTGCACAAAGCAGGGAGGAGGCCCATTGCTGGGCAGGGCATGGTGGGGAGTGCATGAACAGGTAATGTGATGGGAGCAAGTTCAATAAGAATTCTCCTGCTAGACAGAAAGCTTTCACCCCTATAAAAAAACCTTGTATTTTTTCAAGTATTAAGAATGCTACTTCTCTTGTTCCTCTGTTACCGTAGCATGGCATCTGGCTTTATGCAATGTTTAAAAAGATATAATAACATGATTATAAAGATACAGTAAAAATATTTGTCTTTATCCGTCTCTACAGGTTTAGGGGACTGTGGTCATCCCAGTCACCATGGGGCTGTTCATAGAGTCATAGAATCACTCAGGTTGGAAAAGACCTTAAAGATCATCGAGTCCAACCACAATCTGACCATACTGCCCCACCTCTAACAACCCTCTGCTATGGCCCTGAGCACCACATCCAAACTGTTGTTAAACACCTTCAGGGATGGTGACTCAACCACCTCCCTCGGGTGCCCATTCCAGTGCTTAAGAACCTTTCTGTAAAGCAGTTTTTCCAGATATCCAACCTAAACCTACTCTGGTGCAACTTGAGTATTTTGAGTATATTGAGTACAGGCCATTTCCCCTCGCCCTGTCACCAGTGAAATGAATTACTGAATTGTGTGTGTTTGCTGAAAACACACTGCATGCTTTAACATAATGCCATATGGAAGATCCTGTTTAGCAGAAAGCATGATCTTACAGTTAGGAAAGATTTGGGGTAAGGCTTCCTGCTGGAATAAATTCTTATCACTCTATTGAAGTCACTGCAGCTGCTGTGTTTGAAACAGGCTGAGATATGTTCCCTCATCTTCGGGCAGACAAGAACAAAGCAACGAGTAAAACGATGTAGGAGAATTCAGTACACATTTGACACTGAACAGAAAAGTCTCCATGGTGGACTTCTGAGCAGGGATGTGTTTTGCTTTCGTGCCTTACCTGGTGCTGGTTGCAATGCAGAAGGTTGTGTCCCGAAGCAGGGCTGGATTACAACCCACGCAGGATCCCCAGGTGAGCAAGGCTTGGGTCTGGCATTTTTTCCTTCTTTCTTTCTTCAAATATTACCTATAATACAAGGCAGGAAAAAAAACATTTTAGCTTTTTTGGGGGAAAAAAAGCTGCAATTTCAGAGCAAGTTGGTTCAATCATAAAACTTTAACTGGACTACATATACGTAGATATAGTTTGACATCTTCAGCCCCATTGAAAGGCAGTGGATTTTAGTACAGGCATTTTAAGCTATCAAATGATAGCTGAGATATAAGTACCACGGAGACACATGAAAAGCACAGCAGCACTGGGGTGGTATGGTACAATGTGAAAAGGGTGTTTACATCCAAACATGACACGCACAGTTGAGCATGAATTCACATTAGCTCAGCTTGCGCTTCAAACATCCATTTATTAGCTCTGGGTGGAAACAGCTATTTTTCAGTAGCACAGTTCAAGTATCACAAAGGGTTTTTAATGACTTCTGTAAACCTTAGCACAGCTATTATTCCAAAGCCTTACACCCGAGCAGAGTTGATGCTCAGGCTTTTCTGTTTTTCACCTCTTTTCTGGCATTCTTTCTTTCTGCGCCTTCAGTGACGTGTCAGTTTTCCCATGACATGCCCTGCAGAGATTTGCAATGAGCAAAGCTGAAAACAAGAACCCACATTCTTCCTCCTGATGTGTGACTATTTCACTACTGTGCTGCAGTGCGCTGAGCCCATGCATGACTGCAGCATCCTGAGCACACACGGCCACGCACCGAGAGCTCCTTCCACCCAGCACAGAGGGACTCATGCATGCCAGAGCTGCTCATGGGCAGAGGCTGGAGAGAAGGCCACAGAAGATGTGAATATAGAAATAGGAAATTAATATGTGAGGTGATGCTCGTCCCACGGAGCGTTTTCCGCTCGCTGTTGGGTACTGCTTCCTCTTGTCCGATTAAGTGACATCCGGTTAGTGTGTCTGCCTGGTTATTTAGTTCTCTGCATCACTCTGAGCACTGTAATCTCTCTAATTGGTGCAAAGAAGTTTTTCCCAATAAGGTTAGAATGAAGCAGCTTTTCTGTCTATGCTCCTTCATGGTTGATTTTGCTATCAGCTTCAGAAATCACGCAGAAGGAGTCTGACTTTGTTCCATTCATTCAAGAATTACTATGTTTGCAGCCATAGAAACAGTCTTTAGGTCTGGATACAAAGGAAATATAGTGCCCCTATTAATTTTCTGCATCACTGAAATGGAGCTTCTGTCAAATGGGGAAGGTAGACATTGCTGATGCTGAAGAGCCATCCCAGAACCAAGCCTGCAGCACTGTTTGGGAACAAAAGGTAAGAAGAGATGGTTGATGAGATGAAAATGCTGATTATAAGATGTTTTTGGATGAGATAAGCAAACCGGCTTGTAATCTCAAATTCTTAAGTCTTCTTGCTGTGTTTTTACACTATCCTGGGCCTGTTATGTCTGAAAACAGCCCTACGTTTATTTTTATGCTTCAGGCAACATTAGTTCAGATGAAAACACTCTTCCTTGCCCTGATTTGTTAAAGCCCTAAGGTTTATTTCCTCATGATAAGAGGGCGGTCACAGCCTTCTCAGAAGTGTGTGTTTTCTGTAATACAAACACTCCTGAGCTATTTGGCTCTATGTGGTGTCTAGATGTGAGCTGGCAGAGGTGCCCATGTCCTTCTGAGCTGCACCAACACATCCACCCCATGGCTGGAAGAGCTCTGGGTCAGGAACGTGTTCCCAGCAGACAGACTTGGAAAAAGCAATAAGGCAAACCTGCCAGAGATAAATAGCTGATGTCTTAAAGCAAGGATACTACTGATTATATTGATATTTCTCACCAGCTTGTATTTGCAGTGTTAGAATTGCTTGTACTCTGGCTGGTGGAAATTCCTCTGGTGGTTTTTATCACAGGATGTCTAAATTGTTTAGCAAGATTCATTAACACCACGACAGCCCCACTGCTGACCGAGAGCTTCCAACGGCCACTTCACAGAGCCATCCTGAAATGATTTGAGTCAGTGAGAAAAGGACAGGAAGGACTGAGGCATCCCCAACTCCAGGAGAGCAGCAGGCATTATAAAGAAGGAAAACATTTTTCATTTTTATAAGGAATAAGGAAGTGGAGAATGCGTGGAGCTTCAAAATGATGTGGTAGCAGAGTCCTAACTCTCAAAACGTTTGTGGACAAGGTACTGTGCTGGTCACCAAAGGGGGAAGGAAAGTGCCTGGCTCCACACGAAGTAAAGGTTTAAATTAGAGACTGGAAAAGCTTCCTAATGAAGAATACTTTATCAGTGAACCTGGCTGCTAAGGGAAGATGTAAAATATAAGTTCTAAAGGACCAATTAGACTAACACCTGTCTGAAAGCACAGCAGGATTCTGCCTCCTTGCAGCGAAAATGGGCTTAAAGCCACTATGATATTGCAGTGCTACTGCAGCCTCCAAACCTCACTCACATTCAAAAATCTCATTTTTGCTATGAACATATATCCCCACACTGTAAGGAGGTCCTCTAAGCATCCAGCATGTCTTACCTGTAGTCTGTCTGGAAAAATAACAATTGCAAATCTACATCTTGTCAGATCAAAGTCCTCTTATAACCAAGTCATGAGGATTAAAGTTAGCTTCATTCTTCTGAGTAGAGCATCCCTCCCAAGGGAAAAAGGTGCATTGTGACCTGTGAGCTGGTACTGCATCTGAGCTCACTTAGGGAAGTCTCACTCCTATAACCTTCTTTATTTAGTGGAGGGGTTTGAGGAAGAAGATCCTTGAGGAGAGGGACGGGTTATTTCCCTGCAGCTCTCAGTGAGGTACGCAAAGGTTTTCCCTAAAGTTCCCTAAGCTGACTGATTTGGTTTCCTGGTGCATTGCATGAGCAGTGTGGACATGCAGTTCACAATTCTGGGTTTCCATCCAGAAGCCAGGATCCTTCATGCCACACTCAGCGCTGCTTCCCAGGCCTCCAAATCCTTGACTGCATTCTTAGTCAAGAGTTACAAGAATGATAACAGGCACTGTAAGTCAGCAGTACCCCTTTGATAAGATAAAGCAGCTGTGTTGGCTCTGGAGTAGCTTAACTTTAGACTTTGAGTATGATGAATTATTGTTTAAGGAGATGCATTCGTAATTCTGTTCCTCCCAAGCAGGTGGTTGATATTTTGAGATCCCTGCTGTATCAGCACTGTGTATATTTGGCATAGAAATTGCATGAATATTACAAATTCTATATTTAATTGAGTCTCATAATGAAACCCTGTAAATCATAGTCAGCCCATCAAAATAAACAGGAAATTGATATGTTGAGGTGTTAAATAATGTTGTTTCTTTCCACCCCTACAGGTTAGACAAAACTTGATCGCTTCCCTTAGAAGGCAAAAATGATGGCAGCCAGACATAGTTGATGTAGTTCTCTGTCTGAAAGTAACATGAAAATCCTCATTCCTAACAAAAACATTGAGTAACACGATAAAGCACCTTTACCTACAACAGCTTCCTTGGGTCAGGTCTCAGACAGAGCACGGTGCCAACTTCTTGTTCAGGCTGCATCCTAAGCTTTCCTACTTTTCCCTACAAAATATTTTTGATTCTCTTGTACAAGTATTTTGGAAGAAAAAAAAAAAAATAAATCACAATAACATTTGCTATGCAGTAGTTGGTGAAATTCCTCCATTTACATTTACGAAGGTCAGGCAAGTGCTGGGTGGTGAGAACTACCACTGCTTCAACTTACTGGGCTGCAAAAATCCTGAGTCGTTCTGCTTTTTCTGAATGAGAACTAGTGCAGGACTATACCCATACAGCTTGTCTCTGAGGTTATGGCAGAGGAACTAAATCCCAGGAAACAGAATCATAAAACAGCTTCAGTTGGAAGGGACCTTAAAGATCATCTAGTTCCAAGTAAGAGACAGTTCAAACAAGTGTGAGTGTGACCTAGTGAATAAGTAAAATCTACTGTAACACAATGGGAAGCACAGCAATGACAGCAGGCCAGCAAGGTCCTAGACTGCAGCAAGTGAAGGTTTGCTTAAATGCAACAATGCAACAGCTGTGGGCACAGAAATAAAGGAAAGAAGCTGCTTACCTTCAGAAAGCTTCAGGTACACAGGGATTTCCAGTGATATCCTTTTGCCTTCACTGCCAGCCCTTAAATGAGGGCTGGGAAGAGGGGGATGCTGGTTCCACCCTTCCATCACTCAGTGCATTGCATTGCATGCACCTGAGCACCCCTGGGCTGGCTCTGCCTTCCCACCAGGTGCTCCATCACTGCTACAGTGGGTTTATAGAATGTTTATATGACTAACATTGCCTTCATTAGTAGCATATTATTTGGTACAATGAGGTACTATTTGCACCTTTATCTATGGTGATTCTATCACATCAAGTCAAACAAGCGATGAGACTTGCACTCAATGAATAGAGTCCATTATTTTGCTGCATCTGGCTAATTGAATACAGAGAGCAGAGCAGCCTTTGGCACCTGACCTGCTTAGGTGCCTTTTGCCTGCAGGGTTCTCTTTGTGGATGAGGACAAGGAGCTATGCATTACACTGCAATTTCTTAACAGGCTGTTTCAAGTGCTCTCTAGATGTACTTCCCCTGCTCCTCCAAACCCTATTCACACCGCTTCTTTTTACTGCTCTTACAGTGGAATTCATCACAGGCTATTTTATCTGGGTGAGAGCTCAGTACACACACAGGTCTGAGTCCATGCAGCACAAGTACAAATTGCGGGGCTGCTGTCCAAGGCTGTGACCTTGCTTATCAGAAAGCAAAATGCCAGGGGAGTGACCTCCATAAGCCCAGGTGACCCCGAAGCATCGCACACCAGGCAACTGCAAGTCTCAGTATGCAATAGGAAAGATGCACACTTGCTTGTCGCAGGTCAGGGAAAGGTCCTGCTGGAGACGATCTGCAGATACGTGCTGAAAAGCCTCTTTGCTACAAGAGACCAGGCCACATATGGCAAGGATGGTTCTTGTGATAACGTTTTAACATGACATCTTTGTTGTGCAGTATAATGGTGATGCTATAGGGAAGCAACTCAGGTTAGCTGCTTCTGTGTTGAGTGTAAGGGAAACAACAGAGGAAAGGGTAATCTTCACCTGCTGAGGTAAGTGCTTGTCACTGCCCCTGAAAAAGCAATTATGGAAGATCAAAAGTAAGCTGGTGAGAGCATAAGAACACATGATCTCCACTGTGCTGGGGGAAATGGGAACTGGGAAGCACAGTCTAAGCAAATGTGGTTTTCCTATGGAACATACCTACTTGGTTTTCTTGCCTATCAGAAATGATCCAAGGCAAAAATTGACCAACAGTTCACAAAGAGGACAAGTGGGGCTCTGTACGTACCGAGGGGCTCACTGCAAGTATGAATACTTGGAGAATTCAGTGATTGTGAATAGCATCCCTTCAACATGCAGGACTTCATGATGATGGGGTAAGAGTGTATGCTTAAATGTAATTTTCATTTATTACACAGAGAAAAATCCTAGTGCCCACCAGAACAGAGCTTAAGTTTTTCTGTAGTAGAAATCAAGAAGTAACTTTGCTGAAGGCACTGGTATTAGCTAATGAAGTTTGAATACATTTACACGTACTAAACAATACCTGCATACACTCTCCTATTGAATTTTGGTGGCTGTTTTTACAGCAAATTACTGTTCTGCCCAAGTAAGTTTGTGAGCATCTAGGTTTCCACTAACTAAGATTGCACGTCTATTAGCTTATCCAAAAGTTACAAGACTGCAATATTCCTGTACTACCATGCACTGAAGACATGTCCCTGAGAAATTATTCAGTAGAAAGATATAGGAGCCCTATTTTCTCAGTAACAGCAAATCTGTCTGAAGCACAGCAGTTTCAGTGACAATTCAGCTCTTGGAGCAGAATCCATTTAACTTTGGATTTGGAAAGGCCAGTGCTGGAACCTAGGGAGCAGATCTGTCACTGGATTATAATGGGGAGGCTATTTTGCAAATAACCTGTTCTCTGAAACTGCTGACTGCAAGATGCTTTAGGAATATTGACATTTTGCCACAAGTACAGAAACCTCAGAGTCAACTCCCATCATCAGACAACTTAACAACACATTTCACTTACACAAATGAAACAATTCCCTGTCCTCATAACAATTAGGAGAACATCTTTCAGTGATTATGCTACCCTGCAGCAAGGAGAAGGGTATTGATCCAGGCCTACATTTCATTTACAAATTATGTTTGTATTATGACTCATATTAAGGGCTTTTTCTAGGGAGAAAACAGGGGATTATAAAATACTATTAAATATTGAGCAGATGGCTTCATCTCAAAGAAAAAACATCCTTTGATAAAAAGTAAAATGTTCAAAACGACTTGAGAGCAAGGACACTCAGCACAGTGTTTGTGCTGTTTGGGAGCAAGCTGCCTGAGAAAGGAGCGGGTCAGCTCATTTCACACTGCTGCCGTCTAGGGACTCAATCAAGGGGCATTGAGATAAACAAATAACATCTCAGGAGGTCACTCCTACACCAAAGAGTTCTGTGTGGTTGTGCATGGGGAACTGAATCGAGAAAGGCTGAGATTTTTTGCCCCATAAATCACAGAGCCTTTGGTGGCACTGGGAACTGAATCAAGATTTTCAGTCTCTACTCAGCACCTCCATCTATTCTTCAAAGGTTAGGACCAAAGGGGATCTGTAACGATGGCAGACTCTCCATAGGATTACTCTGATAACTGTTTCAGTGCTGTGAAGGATTTACTCCCCACTTTGCCTCTTTGAAGCTAAGAGAAATGCAGTATGCCCATGGACACCGCCGTCTCCATCTTCCCAGCCCTGCTCCTTCCTGCAGACACAGCGCTGTTGCTACAGGAAGGAAAGAACTGGCTACAAGCAGAGATAATGCTGCCACAAGTGAATGAAAGGAACAAAAAAAAGCCAAGTTTCACTACTGGAAACACTGCTGACAAATTCTGTTAATATTTCAACAGATGACCCCATGCCAATGTCTTTCTGAAGTACTGCAAAGTGCATGCCACGTGTCAGCCAGTGGAACAGCCACCCAGAACAACGAGTGCTGCCCTTCCTCCCCTCTCAGGGTGATTTGTTTCCACATCCCTAACGTTTCAATATTTTTATATTTGATTTCTGTGGGATGAATCTCATCGCCTTCTCATCTCCACAACTGTCAGAGGGCTTTTTAGCATTCTGGAGATATTCCAGCCTATTGTCATTCTCTATGCCACTGAATTTTACAATCACAATTTCGTTTTTTGCAGTGGTTGTGCTCATGCGCCCTCTTTTTCTGAGGTTCAGAGAGGTCTTTGACTTCCTGAAACTCAGTGACAAAATCTATTCCAAAGGCCAAAGCCAATCCTTGCATTCTAAATACAAACATGAAAAAACAAAACAAAACAAAACAGCTAATTAGTTCTAAATTAAAATTCAAAAGGAATATCCATTATTTCTGGATTATGTACACGCACCACCTCCTTTACAGTTTGTGATGAAAGATCAGCCACTGTTCCCAAGCACTGCTGAGAATACCAACAAAGCTGTCACGAGACGATATCTTGATCGAACATGATGACCTTTAAGTTGGAGCTGTAGAAGCAAACCAGATAAGAATCATTTTCAAAATACACACAAAAAGCACTGCAGTGGAAGGGAAAATGATTATTCCCACACTCTTAATTGTTTTGAAAGGTTGATACTTTTAAAGTAGATATTATATTAAAACAATGGGATTTCATGTCATGCTGACTATGCTGTTTATCTTTCAGTGAACTTTCTGTTTTTCCACTTAAGAAGCTGTGCTGATTTCTTTATGCATGCTTCTCATTTTTCTTCACATATCGTATGGTCAGAACAAAAATGCTCACAGCAGGAATTGATTACTAGCCAGTCACTTCAAGCTATGTGCTCTTCCTTCCTCATAATTATCGAATAACTTTCTGTCCTTTTTCTTTTTAAAAGGTTTCTACCAGCAGACAACAGCTGGGGTTGTTCCTATTGCTCCTGACTAATCTTGTTTTGTACTATCAATGCACAAAGCAGCCCTCTGCTACCTCAGTGCTTCTGTGTACAGAAGCTCTTGGGCAAGGGAAAAGGCAAAAGCAAAAACATCTACTTGCACCAAAATTACATTTGCTTCTCTTTAGATTTTGATCCTGCTTTTACAATTAGACTCAAGTGGACTAAGAGAGTTGGAGCCAGGGTCAAATTTTGTCGTGTTTTTACGTAGTGCTTTACAAAATGAATTCCTAATCCTCGATTCTGACTGCATGGATCATCTGCCCTAAATATAACAAATATTAAAATTCAGGCTTTGCTGATGTCAAACAGAAATGAGAGACTGGGAGGACGAGCAGAGTTGAGTGACCTTTCCATGTAATCCCAGGTTGGATCTATAGATTAAATATATTCTCTTCAAACAAATCCATTACCATGAAAACCAAAATCAGCCCCAGTTCTTGACTGAAATCCTATTGCTTATCTCTTTCCTGTTTTTTCCCCTAAGGATTTTTCTTCCATTTTTCCTCCTCCTGTGGCCCATGGCAGAAGCTGAGCTCCAGCTTTGACAGCTCCAGCTTTGACAAGTGAAGCCCATCAATGTGATTGCAAGATGGAGAAAGATATGTTGTTTATCTGAAAAAATATCCAAGAAAAGGATACAGAAATCCAAATTTCTGCATCCCAGCACAGCCAGAGCATTGCTGTGTTACTCTGCTGCAGTTCCATATGAACACCCACAGGGTTTGTTTGCAATGCTTTCCTGGTAGAAGGAGATTTGAAGTTTCTAGCCCCAATATGTGAGTAGTTTCCATAACCCTCTGAATGCAGCATAGCTGGCAGCTTTGAACTTAAAGTTTAATCTTACCTGAAAGGCCGAACTTCCCAGTTTGGGTTGCCGTCTTTATCTCTCGACTACTTGTCCAGACCACTGATGTGACTTGATATTCACATTAGCTTGCACTGCACAAATGGAGAACACAGCATAATCTGCTGCCGAATGTACTTGAGGCATTGCATAACCTGGCTGAAGTGAGGCCAGATGTTTACTGAAGATTTATATCCTTGATGCTTTGATTTGACATCGGTGACAGAGTAATCCAGAAAAGTGCTTGCACTGCAATCTCTCTCCATTGCCAAGGATCTATAGAAAAGAAAGAAAGTAAAAAATGTAAACTAGGACCGCAGCTACACTGCTGCTTCCCTCAGAACTGCAGTAATGAGGTCATGCTGCGCCATGAATGAAAGCTGTAAACCACCTTCCATGGAACAGTAGGTTACCAGGTCAAGTCCAATAAGTGCTAATGCACAGCAATTTTTTACTGTCCCAGATCCAAAGCGTTATGACAGCAGAATCACAACTGGGATTCAGAAGAATAGAAGAAAAAACCCCAAACATTCCCTTGCTGGCAAGGAAAGGTAAGAAAACAGTGCAGAAGCACAGGATGCTCTGCCTGCAAAAATAGTTATTCGTATCAGCTTCTTTTGACTTACTTGTTTGCCCTCATCTCCAGGTTGGATGTTTAGAATCAGTGCCCACTGACACTAATATCAGCATTGAGCCTTGTTTTGAGGGTATCACATTGCAGTCACTGATTAATGTCTCTCTCCTATTAAATGCTTTCATTCTTTCAATGGGAAAAGTACGGTAGGGTCTATCACAGAGGTATCCTGGGCTTTTATCCTCCTTCTGTCATGAGCTCAGAGGCAACAGCTGAAGAATAGAGAAATGAGCCATAAAAAAGGTGAGCAAAGGATGGCATTTGGATCACTGCGCATCAGAAATGCCATTCAGTACCAGAATATTGTCTTCACTCAGCAATGACATCATTTTGTCACTGTCTTCAGTGTTGCTTTACTGGGCCCATCAGAGCTAGCTGGACACAGCACTGCTCATACAACCCCTGTCAATCACATTCTAAATATAACATTCAGCTGTCATCAAGTTATTGGAATTCATGACTATTTTATATGCTGCCCACCCTGCCTGTTTAACCCCCACATCGTGTCCTAGGTGACACCAGAGATTTCAGGTTCATACTGAACCCCAGGGACCGGATAACTCTGGATGATAACCATCATACATGTACACGAAGGAACAGTGGAAAGGAAGAATTAACGAGCATCTGCCACCATGGCTTGGTTTTGTACTGTTTGCATTGTTTTCACTGTACCAGTTTCTGCACTGTCCTGCCCTTCACCAAACCCCGTTGTTGTGGTTTGCAAAAAAATGTGTCTGACTTTTTCACTCCCATCCCTCTGGATTCCAGCTGGGATCAAACACTGAGCATAGCAATCACACACACACAGAAACTTGTCTGTTTTTGAGGAGTAACACTGTAGATATTTCTCACTATTTTCTGTATCATAGCTTAATGTAACAACCACTAGTGAGAGATAAGATACACATAGTGCAGAGCCCCTGGTGTTGAGCATAAATCCAGCACTGGCTTGCAATGCACTAATGAGCGGATGGGAGCCCACCAAGGGGTTGCAGCCTCAGGGAGAAAAGGATGCTGAGAGCAGCTGGAAGGGACAAGCTCCTTCATGAAGCACGTAGCTGCCATGGGGACGAGGCCTCATGGAGGGCTATCTGCATCACTCCGATAGCATTCCTTTGGGTTTTGGTTGCATGGGACCTGCATGAAATCTAATGGACACTGGTGTGCCCCCCTCCCCTCTACTGCAGCTTCCTGAGGATGGAACCAACCCCCAGCAGCTCCTGCTGGTTTGCATCTCACCTGAATCCCACTGAGGTTTGTCACAAACCCCAGAGCTCTCAGACACCTGCAGAGGAGGCACTTTCTATGCTCAGCCAACAGCAGATAGCCTAGATGATCTTGCCAGGAGCAAAACTCTTGTTAATTCTCCCATCTCACTCCCTAAGATATCGAAACAAAGTACCAGTGCAGCAGCTCACAGAAGAATGACAACACAGAGAAATTTCTAAGGTGTTGGGAAAAAGACTCTAGGTTCACTTAAACAGCTTCTCAATTCCTGAAGGAGATACAGCATGCAATTCTGCCTCGGCAAATTTACACTCCTTCTTCCCCCTGTGCCCTTGGTGAGCTATATAAGGCAGCAGCAGGTTTGTCTGAAAGGCACAGAGGATTTGTACCCAAATTTTACTCCCACATGCATTTGTAAGATAGTCTTTGAACAGACACTGTCAAAATTTATGTATTTTTTTCAATTCTCTTGTCTTTCTTTCTTCTTTATTGTCTCTGCAACAGCTGGCAGTGCTACTGCCAGATGCCACCAAAGTCTACAGATCATCAAAACCAGGCCAGCCCTAACCCTAGGCTCGGAAGAAGGATGATGTTTCAGCAGGCATAGGACACAGAGGGAACGAGAGACAGATCTTGCCAGAAGTTGAAACTTTAACGAAATAATCGCTCAACTAGCAGACATACACACTTTCTTTTTTTTTTCTTCTCAATTGTGTTCTTTGGTGGCAATTCATTTTCTCAAGCAACTGTTTGTGTGACTTTGCACACAACTTGCAGAATGTGTCTAAGCTGTACAGACAATACAAAAGGTGGGGCTTTCCAAGTTCTGTCTAAAATCAGAAAAGAGGCTCTAAGAGTCTTTCCCCTTACTGGTGGCCAAAAAAAAAATGTATGTTACTTTGACGCAGCATCCAGCCTATGAGATAAACATTTCCACATTGGAGTCTTCTCACCCACCTGCCTAGGTTAAAGCAGGCTGCTCGAATATCCAAAAGGATGCACACCAACATGATATCCCTTCTAAATCAATCAGATCAGTGGATTTTTATCCTTTGGTATGAACTCAGAGCAAGGCTCAATCACCCCTATAACTATGCAAACTAACTGCTTCTCTACCCCATTAGAATTGGCCTGGTTACACAGCAGTGTGTCAAAGCTACATGATTTTCCAGCAGCTGATTTGAAGTGATGTCTCATTTGCACTCTGATGTGTCTGCAAACATCCACAGGGTCGTGGTGGAGCTGCCCCTTTGGATCACAGAATCATAGAATTGCTCAGGTTGAAAAAGACCTTACAGATCATCAAGTCCAACCTCAACCTGACCATACTACCCTAACTCTAATAACCCCCTCACTAAGCCCCATCATGGAGCCTGAAGGATGGCAGAGGATTGTTTTCCCAGGTACTGCCTATTCACTGTGAGCTAAAGCTGAGAGTGTCTGCTAATCCATCTGGGGAAGGTAACAGCAAGCAGCCTAAGCCAGAGCTTGAATGGAACCTGGCCAAAGTAATCCAAGCCAGCAGGGTCACTGGAACCCAACACGAGGTGTCTCTGGGGACTGCTCTACTGCACACATACTTGGATCTCAAAAAAGACAAGAAGGCTCTGGAGGGGCATGGATCAGACCAGCTGAGCAATACTGGGAATTTGAGCACTGCCGCAAAGCCAAAGCTTTTTTGTCTTATCATTAAAGCAAAACAGTGCAAAATGACAGAGAAACTC